AAGCAACTCTGAACAAAGAAGAAGTTTGTCCACCAAGTCTACTTTGATGAAACCAATTTTTGCTACCTAGAGAAGTGAGGAAGATAAGTTCTTGTTTATTTACCTTGAGTGTAGTTAGCTTACAAGAGCCCTTGTACGAGGTCTTAGCCAGGTACGAGGTGTTCATCTCGGCTTTCAAGCTTTTCACCACCATATTGTCTACATAGGCTTCGAAGTTCCTCCCCATCTGATTTTTTAACACCTTGTTGACGAGGAGTTGGTAGGTAGCCCTTGCATTCTTGAGGCCGAAGAGCATCACTTTGTAGTAGTAGGTACCATGTTCGGTGATGAATGAGGTCTTCTCCTTGTTCTCGGGGTGCATCTTTATTTGATTGTATCTGGAGAAGGAATTCATGAAACTAAGTAGTTCGTACCCTGTAATAGCATCGACGATGTGGTCTATCCTCAGCAAAGGAAAATTGTCCTTAGGGCAGGCTCGGTTAAGGTCTATGAAATCAATACAGATTCTCCACTTCCCATTACCCTTCTTTACCAAAACCACGTTTGACAACCAGTTAGGGTAGTATACCTCTCAAATGAAACTGGCGTTGAGTAGCTTGCCAATTTCTTCTCTATGGCCTTCCAACACTCCGGTGCAAAGTTCCTCTTCTACTACCCAACGACTCTAACTCGTGCTCGGTGGAGAACTTGAGGGTGAGTTGGTATGAGGAGATAGCTGCCCTAAGCACGTGAAGGGTCGGCCTCCCCACGATTGCATTGTAGGGTGAGCCGATCTTCACGACTAGAAACTCATTCATCCTCGTCACCTGCTGAGGCTCGGTCCTTACTGTGATAGGTAGGGTAATTTTTCCCTCTGGTCTAACCACGTTACTGAAGAAGCCAATTAGTGGGACATCGGCTGGCTGGAGGTGGTCAGGCGCTATCTTCATCTTTTGGAAGGCTTCGTAGAAGAGGATGTCGGCCGAGGCATCACTATCGACGAGAATCCCCTTCAGTTCTGTAATCAAAAGTTCTTTTTTTTTAGAAAAAACATATTTAAATTGGAATACTTGGGATTTATGATTTGAATTGTTAGTTGTATACTATTGCAAGGTTTTGACAACTATGACTGCAGTCTTGTGCACGACACTGGGAAAAGAGGAACCATAGAACCTTCAATGGAAGGGAAAGATAAAAGGAAGCATTATTAGAAATTTTGACAACAATGACTGCACTCCTGTAGTTCTATGGACAACATTGGGAAAGAGTATCCAAAGAATGTTAAATGGAAAGGAAAGATAGAAAGAAGAATTAATAAAAACTAAGTTTTTGAGAGTGATCCATTGGATTGCAGCTTTGGACATTTTTTACTTCTTTCTAATAGATGACATGCTTAAAGAATGACAGATGGTTGCATCTTCTCCAACAGTCAACTCTAAAGCATTAATACTTTGGATCCCATGACTTGTTAGACAGTTGTATGCCCTTAGCTCCAATTAGAATGATGTACATTATGAATTTATTGTAAATGAATAAAGTACATATTTGATTCATGTTCCTGTGGTGTGTTTCTGTGTAATACCCTTAAACTGGACA